CACTTCCCAAACACTTTTCAACATGTCAGTTTCTTTTTTTTTCAGCTCCGTACGGTATACGCGAGAGGAGCCAGAAAGTGGGTATCAGAAGCAAAAAGGAAATTTCAATTCAACGGGATATTACACAATAGTAAGAATTTTTTCAAACATTTGTTGTCTATAAAAAGGATTTTTTATCTATTCATTATTAGGGCGGACGTACTACCGCCAATACTATTTAAAAAATACTGTTTATTATTCGAGAGGACGTATTTTTTGCTTCTATTTCCTCTGACCGTGGATTTCAAGCAATTATTTTTTATATCTGTTTATATTTTTAGTCCGAATCATTATCCAGAGAAAACGCAGTATTCGATGTCGTCAACATTCCTTGATCTCATCAATCTTGCCAGCAAATTGCTTGTTGTTGGTGGTCGTTTGCTCTTCTGGTTTCCAGTGTTCGATGATGAGTTAGTTTCTTTTCGTTTGACTTTAAAATTCACTAGAAACAGAAATTCCTACATATTGCTGACGCCTTTTTTTAATAAATTAGTCTTTTTTCAATGTTAATTTTTTCCTGTTTTGCGAATACTTCAAAATTAGATCGAGCAATTCAAAGTCGAACATTGCTTCAGATAGCTGTGGAATTGAGGTTTAGATGAAAATAATTAAAACGGTGTAAGAACTGCATGAAATTTGCAATTTCGGAAGCATATTGTAAAAGGGATAAGGAAATCGGATTTTTTGCGGATATCTCTCGAGTTTTACCGATACCACTTACATGAGGCGCCCGAGTTTTGCCGAGATCTCTGGAACATTTCATGTTAGTGATCTTACTAGGAAGTATGCCTGGTGCAGCTGTGTTTTTGTTGAATTAAAATCAAAAAAAGGATTCGTTGCAGTACATGTTTTGTTTAATCTTCATCGATTTTCGGATCCTTTTCCGAATGAGATTCTCGTTGTTGTTAATAATTGATTTCTCAGAACAATGAATTTTTTATTTTGGAGATTAAAAAACAGTCAAAATAATCACCTGAAAGTACATACATAGTCTGGCAGTGCGTATATCCATACGTTATCTACAAATTTTTGTTGCTTCTGCAAGTATCCATTTGAAGCATACAGGTCTAGACGGCTGCTCTACAACACACATAGTTTGGTTGTGACAATCCTTGAGCGAAATCCGTGATGGACCGAAGGCATTCGTAACCATATGGACAAACATCGTCTTCAATCGAATTGTCTGGCGTACATATTACTGGCATGTATTTGCCCAGTGTCAACATTTGTTGCCCAAATGGACATTCTATAAAAAATTTATTTTTAAAATACTCAAATCAGCTGTAATTATACTGTCTTTTTTCCTTGCTACGAGATGATGCAGCATTGGTCAAAGCAATTGGAAAAGTTGTCAAAAAAACTGATCTAAAAAATTTTTTTGTGAGTAAAACCATTTAGTGATGCTGCCACCCCTATCCTTTCTATGGTAAAATCTTGCTCTACGAGATATCCCCCACGTTTTACCGCATCCTGTTGAACTGATGTTTTCTGGGAT